CCATACATATCTTAACTAAATAAATTACATCACTTAGCATCCTCCATACTCTACGTAAACTTTTCAGTGAGCCGGACGTATATTTATGAGCCTTTCTTAAATGTAAAAATTTTTGAAAAACTAATGACATTTTTACTTTTGTTTCTGAATTCTTGTTACAAAACTTGATAAAGTTCATAAGTTTTCCTTTTGTATATATATATATATATATATATATATATATATACCACTCCGAGTAGATCTATTTTTTCTCTGTTAGCTTGTAAGCCTCATTGTGCTACTATTCGCTTTTCGATGATAACCGGTGATATTATGCATGTATATATAATTTAAACAAGGCGATATATGACATTTTAGTGTCGTGTAAATTGTTAATGAAAAAACAGTTTTTGCATACGATGAGGTTTTTGCATATGTGTATAATGAATATTTATCACTGCCATAACAATCAGATTTTCCTTGCCGATCTTTTAACTGTTCTAACAAATTATGGTGAACGTATTAAGAATTCGTTCCATTTTCATTATTATTACTTTTTGAATAATTTTATACTTCTTATTTTCATTTCTTTTTCTTACGAACAGAATTATGGCGTGCCGAAAATAGAACGAGAGAGGGTGTGGCTAGACGACTAAATTTCAACTAGTATGTCTCGCTATTTCAATTGGTAAGAAGTCAGAGGAGCTCCCAAGGATGCAAAATACTAGTTCAAGTTTCTCCTGAGGTTATTGTATTCCTAATCCATGCTGGTTACATATCATATGCAATAATAATAATAATAATAATAATATATAAAATCATGCTTATGTTAACAAAATACATATATTTACTAAAATGCCTTCCTAACTGGTCTGGGGTAATGTACTCTACTGAAAAGAAAATAATAATAATAATAATAATAATAATAATAATTTCGAAAATTGTCAAATTATAAGCAGATGCAAATATGAAGTAACAAAAAGGTGGAAACATAAAACTATTATCACTGTTATGAGAAGGGCATTGGATATGATAAATTTGGGTACCAACAATCACGTGAGAAAAATTCCCGGACACATCAGCTCCTCAGAGCTACAAAAGATTACCTCGTGCGGAACTGCACATATCATCCACAGAAACCTCTCCATCTAAATGAAACATCCCGACTATACACAGATAACTCTCCTACCGTGCCCTTTCTACTCATAGAGCCTGGAGGGTACTTAGTAATTAGGCTCTTAAAATAATAATTAGGCACTTAAAATCTCTGACAAGATGATACCGCACAGAATAATGGTAATAACTAGCCGAAAACTTTTCTTGCAAACATTTTTGTTAATACAGTTATTCATAAATAAGGGTGTATAAATGAAAGGATTTGAAATTGACAACTTTTTGCATTTCACTAAAACAGACGTTAAATACTTCTGTCTTCCTTTCTTTCTTTCTTTTTTCCTTTCTTTCTTTCTTTCTTTCTTTCATTTTCACACTAAACCCAAGTCGTTTCTCTGATATTTGAGTTCCGTGTTTTCACGCGGTCAAAATGGAATGGGTCATTATTGATGAGTTATTGGCAGGGCGTAACGGTCGTGTGAACTAACTAAGGAACTAACTAACTTATGAAGGGTGGGACAAGTAAAATTATAATAGAGATAACATAAAATAATATTGAAGAGTATAATGAAATATAAGCCAGTAAAAATGATGAAAATAATGCATCCCCGAAATTCGACAATTTTCTTTAATAAACAGTCTAGTATTACTTAAGGGTGCCCAACGCGTAGCAGCCCGTAATGCCGTGGATTCGTGTCAACGATTATCATTACTGCTTGTTTGCACGTGTGTAAATACGTGTCTGCCTTCACAAGAAAATGAGGAGCTTCAAGTGCTTCTCCGGAAATGTATGCACATTCAGGTCTTTGTCAATTAATATGCATGTCTAGACGCTTATATCTGGAGGAGCGCAGAGGGTAAAATTGTCGGCGAAGAGAGGGGAAAAAAAAAAGAAAGAAAAACAGGAAGAAGGAAAGGGAAATAGAGTCGAAGTCCTATTTGCATTGGGGGCAACACAGTCGGTCGCGACGCAGAGATATGGGAACCAGACAGAAAGAGAGAGAGAGAGAGAGAAAGAGAGAGAGAGAGAGGTGGGGGTATTGTCAGGTGATTGAATGTCATCCAATCAGCTTCGAGCTCATCTTTTTCCCATCGCTTTGGCTTTCTCGCAAAATAATTGCAGTTGGCTTTTTGTACTTGTCTCTTCATATCTTTCTAATTTTTTTCAGATCTACCACAGCTTCTCCGTCTCTATGAATTTACTTATCTATCTATGTTTATATCTATCTATCTATCTATCTATCTATCTATCTATCTATCTATCTATCTTAATCTGTTCATATGTATCTATCTGTTTGTTCATATCTATGTATGTATCTATCTATCTATCAATTTGTTCTTATCTATCTATCTATCTATCTATCTATCTATCTATCTATCTTAATCTGTTCATATGTATCTATCTGTTTGTTCATACCTATGTATGTATCTATCTATCAAATTGTTCTTATCTATCTATCTATCTATCTATCTATCTATCTCAGTTTATTCATTAATTTGTTCATATCTTTTTTAAAAATCATTTCACTACAAGCAAGGTGATAATTCCACTAATACGCAATGTTTTAATGGGCATGAAAGTGAAGGTGCAGACATTAGTGAGGAGAAAGGACAATAAAAGAACAGGTACCAAAGTGACAGAAGATGACGATTTCAATTTTTGACTATGAGGTTGGAGAGAAGCAAAAAGCTGGTAAAGAATTCCACAGGTGAGAAGTACGAAAAAAGGAACTACCAGAATAGAACTTATGGTTACTTCCAGCTTTTTCAACAGTAAAACTCTCTATTAAATATCTAGTAGTATGCTCATATCTATCTATCTATCTATCTATCTATCTATCTATCTATCTATGTGTTACTCATTTCCATCAGGGCGTCTAGATTTGGAGTAATCGTTAACTAACCAATGAAACATTTTGTTTTTACTGCTGTGTTGTGATTTCGATCCTCAGTAGGTACCATGTACCAAAACTAAGCTTTTCATCTGTGTTTTGTTCTCCGTTCTTTATTTATCTATCTATCTATCTATCTATCTATCTATATATATATATATATATATATATATATATATATATATATATATATAAAAGAAATATGTTGTAGTGGTTCCAACGAGAGAAAAGTATGTATATTAAAAAGAAGAGAAGAGAGGTGCCGCAAACGTTTTTTGGTTGTAATGTGGATTTATTTAGAAAAATATTATGCTTTGTTTTACATAATTTTACGACACGTGTTTCTGGTCTCGCGAACGTCTTCAGGTAAAAGTGGAGTTTTCCACATATTATTAAAAATAATTATATATATATATATATATATATATATATATATATATATATATATATATATATATATTCATGCGTTTCATTAAATAATATAGACAAGTGTTGTCTATTTATTTTATGTAAATTTTTTTCGTAACGTCTGATAAGTTTAATAACATTATCGTTGAACGAAGAAAGAAATTCACAATATTGATCCATATTTTTTTTAATACAGTTTAAGCTTTCGGCTTACTTAAGCCATTATCAAAGATGTCACTTACAACATATTAAACAATATACGGACAAGACAGTGATGATAGTCTGTCAATGTTTACATAGATGATTTCTAAGCAACGATAAACACGCGCATATAAGACGCTAGAAGCGAAAATCGCACCGCATCTCATGACGTCACATATGACCACACGAGAGTGACTTGTAGAAGTATGAAGTATGGAAAGCCGTTGGTATAAACCAATAGCTTCTGTTACCATTTATAGACATTTAAGAATATTTGTAGAGATGCAATAATTGATTTTGTTTAGGTTGGGTTTCAACTGTTTGATGTATAATGCTTCAAGGATTTTTAGTTTTTGTCTATTGTTTTCATGTCGAAGTATAATTGTGTTTTCGACAATTATTTTACGGAATTGTGAGTGCGGACAGGCATGTTGTTTTAAATGCCTAAAAATGAGTTTTCATTCAAATGTAGTGTCAAGTATCGTGAAAGCGAAATGGATGTTATTTCTCCTCTTCAAGTTCTTCACTGTGCCATGTACCCTCAAGGACACATGGCGCAGTGGATAAAACGTTGGTTAGATCCAGTGACAGGGCCCAAAGTGTCTGAGTTCAATACCCTGTTAAGACAGTGGAGAACTTGAAGAGGGGAATTAACAAGGAGATAACTGATAATTGACATCCATTAAACATGGCACGTGGAACTAGAACAGTCTACCCCAGTGAGCGAAATAAAGGGTTCCGTTTGACATTCCATCCACCTGAAGAAGGCCGGAGCGTACAACGACCGAAACGTTGTAATAAATATGGCGACAAAGATGAGGACAATAGTCTCAATAATGAAAATAGTGTACATAATACCTCATCTCAGAAATATAAACAGATAATGAAGATACTTCTGTGTCTGGAGAAGCCATGTTTAGATATGGCGACGAAGATGAGGACAATAGTCTGAATAATGTAAAGTATCTTCATATTATATCATATTCCTCATATTATTCATTCTCCTTACACCCTGCTTTGTCGTGAAGATAAAAGTGATATATTTTTTCTCTGAGTGGGACACGTGTATATATATATATATATATATATATATATATATATATATATATATATATATATATATATATTTTGTATATATATATATAGTTTTGTGTATGTCTTAGTGGTATAAAAGTCTCTGTGAGAACAAAGCATGCTTGTCATTCATTTTCCTTTCAGCCATTCTGTTCCAATCATAATATACGGTTTTATTATTTCAAGGATATTATGATGCCCACAACGTGAGAAGTAATTCTTTCTTCCATAGATCTCTCCCTTAATTGGCAAATAATCGTCGGTATCTAATAACCACGAAAGTAATGTAGATTTTACTAGTATTTTAGAAGCAACACATGCGAAACTCTATTTGGCCATGACACATTGAAACACTGGATCTCGTACGATCACCGAAGTTAAGCAACGTCGAACCTGGTCAGTAGCTATATGGGTGGCCGTTTCGGAATACCATGGGTGCTGTAAGCTTGGATGTGTGTATAATGCCTCGGAATTGGAAATCGAACACAGGTTCTTTATATTTACTTACGCGCAAATAATCTTGGGAAAAATATGAATCCTCCTCTTCTTCCCCTAACTATATGTTAAATAGTAGAACTTGTATCTGTAAATCATTATTATCTCAAAATAATTCTTACTATCTAAAAATATTTTCTAGATTTAAATAACCTACCAAAGCCGTGAAAAAATAAATCGTCCAAATAAGGAAAGGGTTATTTACGTTGAATAGAAATTTTAAAAAATTCCAAGCAAGACAAAAATTCTAGCAGCCTTGCTCATTCTGCTTCGTACCGTGGGAGAAATTTATTTGTTTTGAATAGTGTATATCTCATCTTGACAAGTTTTTTTTTTCTTTCTTTCTTATCCAACGTATGTGAGGAAAGATCCACCAGTTTTTAGATAGGTAATTTGTAGTAACCTTCTTTTTTTTCTATCCCTCTATAGAAATCAAAGCCTTTGAGAGTAAACAAGAACCACCCAACAAAAGACATTTTATCAAAAACAGTTGGTACGAATAAGGGAGCCTTTAGAAATTAAAAAAAAAATGTATTCCAATGGCTAGCGACATTTTCAAGAATTTACAGCGTGACTTATCTCTTCTATTTTGATCTGGCGGGGAAATACCTCGCTCCTGTAAGGAAGATGCTTGCGTATCAACGCCATTTTTTTTTTTACTAATGTTTACCAAATTCATTAGACCTGGGTAAAACAATAAACGACTCCAATCGGGAGATTGAAGGTTTCTTAATTGCTGTAGTTCCCAGGTTCATCCTGACACGAGGTGATAGTCACTGTTAGAGTCCCAACTATGGGCAAACACCATGAAAGTGTAAAAATAAATTTTTCATAGTAAAAATACCAGCAATACATATTTATATAAATAATTACCAACAATACATATATTAAAATTACCAACAATACATTTTTAAAGAAAATGACTATTCATTTTATAGCTTAATTACCAACAATACATTTTATATCAAAATGACCAACCATACATTTTATCTGTCATTGAAGACATCCACAGACCTGTGTATGGCGATAAACTACATCCGCGTCCTGGGTAAGATGATAAGCTGCATCCGTCAGCAAGGCCTCTGATCAGGAGGTTTTGAGGAGTGTGGAACCACCTCTTAATTGCTGGTGTTCGCAGGTCCACCCTGACCCGGGGTGGTAACACCTGTTAGGGTCCCAGCTATGGACAAATAGTTAACCCCAAACTGGGGTCAAAACACCATGAAAGCGTAAAAATAGGTTTTAATACCAGCAATAAATTTTTGAAGGAAAAAATTATTACCAGCAATATATTATTACCAGCAATACATTTTTGGAAAAAAATATTACCAGCAATACATTTTTGAAAAAAAAAAATATTACCAGCAATACATTTTTGAAGAAAAAATATTATCAGCAATAAAAATCATGTCGGCATTAAATAACCCATTGAAGTTGATATGCCGTAGAACAAAACAAGCCAATCCAAATCGAAGACATACAATTGCGTTCAATTGAGTTAGTTGAAGCCATAAAATTGCAGTCAAAATATTTAGGTTTCGGCATTCAGTCAGTTAAGTGCTATGCGTGATACACGTTAGAGTGATGATGTATCGAAAGATAAATGACTGTTGAGAAAGATTTTCCCCGCAGTATGTTGCCATTTCTCTCGGCGGTTGAGTGGTTTGTCATCCAAGGCTAAAGAACCCAGTCTGTCCTGCTATTCGACCCATAGATAAGTTGGGAGAAGAGATAGATTCATACCTTTCCCAAGGCTATTTGTGCATAAGTGAATCTAACTTACTCTCCGAGTTCTCACTCCGAATATGGCTCAAGAGCCTCTCAAGGTATTGGATTACTTGACGAAGTGTGTGAATTGAATGTAAGAGGAGAAAGTAAGAAAACATGATGAGGATATCGGGATAGATATAAGACTGACCGTTTATTTGAAGGGGTTAAGATTAAAGTGTTCGTGAAAGCATCTGTATTTGATTCTGTTGCACAAGTAGTAGTTTGCTTCTGTTCCTCTTGTTTTCAATATGTCCTGTGAGTATGAAATTTTCCAAGTCTTCTTTCCTCATTATGTGTCCTAATTGACTGGGCATTAATTAAAATCAATACTTCTCTGCTTCGCTAAACAGTCAATGATTCTATGTCGAGTTAGAGAAATATGAAAACAAATATATCTTTGAAACCAGCCATATTATCAAAAAGACATTTATATTATTCTTCTTTATGAACTGTCCCCTTAGGACGTAGGCGATCATGGCTCTCCACAACTTTCTGTCCCTTGTAAATTTTAATAAATTTTGTCTTTCTGTTATTTCTCCCTGTCTTTTTTTCTTTGTCTCTCTTGCCTTCACCCTGTCTCGTGAGTACCAGATTTTCCAAGCTCTCTTTCCTCATGTATCCTAAAAAACCTCAACTCTTTCTTCTTGATGTTAATTATAAGTTTTCTTTTTGCCTCCATTGTTTGTTAAACTTCGACGTTGCTCGCATGTTCGGACCATCGTTCTCAACATCCTTCTGTTGAAACAGATTTCTGTTACTTCCAGTTTTTTCTTGATCTTTGAGGAGATTGTCCAGCACTCACTGCCATACAGGAGGACATGTATCACGTAGCAGTTTAGTACTCTTTTCCTTGTTTCTAACGAAGTTTTCCTATTTATTATTACTCTGCTTAGCTTTTGAAATGCATATTTCGCTATCCCAATAAACATCTTTAATTCTTTCTTTCCCTCATCTATGGGTTAAATAAAAGAATAGACTAGATGTGGGTGGAAGCCAATCTCAGAGGAGGACAAATCTGAATCCAAAAACTGTGAAGAATGCAACAGAAAACCATTCTGCTATCTTCACCGATAACACAGAAAAGGAAATTGTGGAGATCCATGATCGTATACGTCTTGAAGGAAGATGGCATTAAAAGAAAAACAACAACAACAACAACAACAACAACAATAATAATAATAATAATAAAGCAAAAAAAAAAACAAATCAGGACTTCTACAAAAAAAGCAATTACAACCATGTTATAGAATTTCTGGGAATGGTTTAGGAAGAATGAGTATTTCACATTCGCCAGTTTGCGAAACGAGGAAGAATTGGTCTAAAACTATTAAGCATTTTTTTTTTTTTTTTTGACGACTTGATTCGGTGTCAGACGTCGTGGAGATCTTAGTGGTAAAAACAAAAAATGTTTAATGCAACCTAACGCAAAATATCATCCCAGATGATTTATTGCCTAACAGCGGGAAGCCTTGTACGTGCGACGATTTCTTTTTCCGCCACAACCGAAGAGACAAAGTCGTTGAACTACACGCGTCGAAGTGCGTCTTCACAGACTGAGATGAGCGCCAGCAGCCGCCGCACCAGCCCGGCCTGAGAAAAACAAAAAAATGAATCCACGCACACAAGATCAAAGATAGTCACACTGCTAAAGTCAGATCCGTTCACTCATGTAAACATCTGCATTTACACACGCATAACCACAAAACATTAATACGACAATGATGCAGTAGCTATTAGAGACATCTAAGAAGTGTCATTGAAGTTAGCTCAGTTAGTTATGGCATATCCGTAGATAGGATGTAAGAAATATTTTTCATGAATTTTGCCCATTTAGCTACTGACCAAGTTCGACGTTGCTTAACTTCGGTGATTTATGGGAGGTTTATGTTTCGACATGATTTGACCCTAAGCCCACTTTAGTAAATAAGCGGCCAATAACAATGACGCTTCTTTTATCGAGCAAGTTCAGAATGACCAAATTACGATGGATGGGCTTTGGTAAATTTGAACCTCGCTACTAAGAAATGTGTGTGTGTCAGAACAAAATGCACCTTAGTAAACAACCAGGCAACAACAAGACCTACTCTCTTATAGTAAGGGTTAGTAAATTCAGGATGGCCAAATTTTTGCATGAGCTTTAGTTTCTCGTCTGTTTCAATACTATAGCGTTCTGCCAGACTATGTTGTGCCTGAAGTAGACCAGACAAAATATTTTGCATGAGCTTTCGTTTCTCCGTATTTGCTAATAGTTTAAAATTTGTATATTTATGAAGGAAGTGTTTTCAGTATCGTAGAGAGAGCCTTTGTACATATAGAGTGTGGACATACGAATCAACACTGCGTGGTAACTCTTAGTTTCATGCCTACAGGTAATTTCAGACACGTTTCGCATCGTGTAAAAGATTTAATTTCTCTGCCCACCCATGGCTCACTCTCTCTGTACATATATGCTCACACGTATATATATATATATATATTAAGAAATGGACAAGGTCCGACAATTTATTTATTAAAGACATTTTATTATGTTTAACGTTGTTATTTATAGATACAAGTATTTAAGCAAATGCTCTGTTTATGATAAACAGTATTAAATAATATTTACCGGCCTGAATGTCCGAGAAATTTTCATAGAAAATATTCGTTCTTTGACATATACGCTGACGTGCCTTAACCGTCTCGGCCACAAAGAACCTTACGGTAGACAAGGTCGAATTTACTGTTTATAAACTTCAATCTTCTATGAATCTCGTACATTCATAACTGCTCTGGCGTATCAAATGTAAACAAATGACGTCATATGTTAAGATAACAACGTTAAACATAATAAAATGTCTTTAATAAATAAATTGTCGGACCTTGTCCATTTCTTTCGGTAAATGTTATTTAATACTGTTTATCATAAACAGAGCATTTGCTTAAATACTTGTATCTATAAATAACAACGTTAAACATAATAAAATGTCTTTAATAAATATATATATATATATATATAAGAAATGCTAATGTTAGTGTGTCACTGTGTCACACTTTTTCAACTTAAAGGGACACAACTCTACTGTTCTCAAAATACAGTGTTTTCGAATAAAATTGTTCGTGTTTCCAACTTTTCTCTTAGAGGTCGTAGCTTAACATATCATACCATTTTGGAATCAGGCCGACTCCGTGAAGAAATTAAA